TAAGCCCTTTATAGCACTGTTGAGTGATGGGATTAATGTAAACTTTTCACTCTAACCCTATATGGAATATATTTTCTGTATGTAATTGTTTTATACCCTTTATATGGTATTTGTAAGAAAAGTTATATTTCAGATAAGAAAAAAGTCTATATAAAAGTATAACTACTTAATGTATATTTAACAGTGAAAGAATGACTCTCACCTTCGGATAAGGGCTTGCTAGTGCTGCAAAACAATAATAAATATGAAAAAGACAAAACCAAAAGATATAACTAGGCTAGATAATCAAATAGACATTTTTCACAATAATAGTTATACAAAAGATGGTTATGTATGATAATTGTAGTAAATTTGGAGACTACAGAAAACTATCACCCTTATCCTACTGCAGAGAAAACTTTGTTGACATTTTGGAGTTTCCATATCCTTATTTGAAATCATTACCAACTGATTCTTTGAGGAAATGCTGATTGTGTTTGTAAGAAAATTTATGGTTTGGGAGCCAAGGTAATCAGGAGTACTACATTAATATTAAACGGCAAACTTGTCTAATATATTTTCTTAATTGCATCAACCAGTTATGTTGTATTTGGTCAAAAGTCTTTATCGATTTTTTTTTTTTCCAAGGGGATTTCACTGCCTCATTTTGCACATCACTGTCAGTGTATATTGCTTCCTTTTTAGTCATGTCACAGTAATGAGATGTTAAAGGGAGGATAGAATTACCTCTAAAGAGAATATTTATTTGTCATAATTTATGATTTGTACTTCAAATACAGGAGGTAGCTAAAAAATAGTATAGTGTAAAAAGGAATAAAGTGTTCTATGTGGTGACTGTTCAAGTAAAAAAAAACACACACACACACACAAAAACTACTCTTACTGGAAATAAAGGAGATCTATAGTTAAGACAGCATAGTAACATTTGCTCTCTACTCATAGTAATTATAAAAGAAATTAAGAAGCAAACCCAAAAGGATGTATCTTGGCTAGCTAATTGAGAAACATGAACCAGGGGTGCCTGGATGGCTCAGTTAGATAAGTGTCTGACTCTTGATTTCAGCTTAGGTCATGATCTCACAGTTGGGGAGACTGAGCCCAACATCAGGCTCTCTGCTAACAGCATAGAGACTGCTTTGGATTCTCTCTCTTTGCCCCTCCCCTGCTTGTGTGCATGCAGTCTAAAATAAATTTTTAAAAATGAGAAACATGAACCAACAATACAGTAGAAAGATAAAATAGTGAGTGAGGCTGAGATGGATGTGCTGAGCTATCAGTATAGATGTAGGCTCTGGCATCTAGGAGTTCAGTTTCTGCAGGTTGTGAGAAATTAAAAGTGTTCCTATGCAGCATTCCTTCAAATGTGATTATATCAATAGTATTTCAGATATCATCATATATCACTATATCATTAAAATGATCAGTATAAGATGCTGTGGAAGTGGGAATCCGTGGGAATCCTGAAGGTGAATTGGAGGCAACTATATAACTACTAGTGAGGAGGAATAGCTACAGAGGGAAGGAAGGAAAAAATTAAGAGTCTGTACTCAAAATGAGCCTAAATAATTCAACCAACAAAATCAGCATAGCAGTTATAACTATAGGATTTTGTAAGGAAATGAAACTAATATGCAAAGATGTATATACATATTTCTCAAATAAATATAAACACTAAAAAAACACACTAACTAGAGAAAGAAAAACTGATCAAAGATTTTAAAAAATCAAAAGTTATAGGCTAGGCTGTGGCTGAAAAAGGACATAAGGAAACTTTATGGGGCAATAGAAATGTTCTATACTGTAATATCTATCCATTTGTCAAAAGTATATAGCTAAAAACTGTATACTTCATGCATGTAAATATTACCAAAAAGAACCATATAGTAATATGATAGAATGAGGTGGTAAGGGAGTAGGGGAAGGTATAAATGATCTAAAAATGGCAGAGTACTGACAATTAAGCTTTTGTTTTTATTTCTATCTGCATATGTTAAACTATAACTTTTAAAGAAATTAAGAAAGGAAAAACTCATATTTGCCCAGACATTTTCCAATTCTGGTTATCTTCATTATTTCCTTTAGATCCAAATCACTTGCAATTTTCCTTCAGCTTGAAGAATTTGTTAGCATTTCTGAAAGTTCCCTGGCCATCATTTTTTAAAGAACAGTTTGGATAGATAAGGATTATGGGTTGACGGTTATTTTCTTTTTTTTTTTTTTAATTTTTTTATTTTGGGGGAGAGAAAAAGTGGGAGAGGGGCAGATAGAGGGGACAAAGGATTGAAGCAGGCTTTGTGCTGACTGGCTGACAGCAGCAAACCTAATGTGGGGCTTGAACTCACAAACTGTGAGATCATGACCTGAGCTGAAGTCTGATGCTCAATAAACTGAGCTACCCAGGTGCCCCAACAGTTTATTTTCTTTCACTCATTACCCTAAATATATTCCTTTATTGTAGTCTAGATTTGTTGGTTTTGTTGAGAAACTGCCTGTAAATGTATTTTTGTTGCCCTGTATATAATATGCCATTTTAAAAATAAATTACGGGGCGCCTGGGTGGTTTAGTCGGTTAAGCGTCCGACTTTCGCTTAGGTCATGATCTCGCGGTTCTGGGTTCGAGCCCCGTGTCGGGCTCTGTGCTGACTGCCGGTTCAGAGCCTGGAGCCTGTTTCAGTCTGTGACTCCCTCTCTCTCTGACCCTCCCCTGCTCACGCTGTCTCTCTCTCTCTCCTAGAAATAAATAAAACATTAAAAAAAAATTTTAAAAAAGAGATAAATTACAAGTTTTCCCTCAAGACTCTTATGTGTCAGAACAGTAGAATGATTATATTAAATCTAATTTCACTCTGTACCAAGATGAAATTCTATTTTCCATCAACTATGTCCTTCCAGGTTACCCAGCATAGCATAAGAGAGGTTCTCCAATTAAATGGTGGCTAATCTATACTGCCAGGAATCCAGGAGAATATCCAGAGGACATCTGGAAAAGTGGTCACCTGTGGACTTTACATTTTAACTTTGTTCTATTTAATGCTTTTTATTTAAACCTTCTTGCTCTGATACTAGTATTACTATTCCTGCTTTATTTTTGTTTGTATTCACCTGGCTTATCTTAACCCTTAATTCTTCTGTGTCATTTTGTTTGAGGTTGACCCCAAATAGCATGTAGTTGGATATCATTATGGGTTGTTGTTGTTTTTTATGGTTTGAAATTCTTTATATTTGAAAGGAAGTTTGCATTTATCATACTAAATAGTGTAGTTTTTATTCTGTCATCTTAGTTTATACTTTTTGTTATGTTGACTTAATCCTGTTTTTCCCTGCTGTTGCTTTTGCTAGTTTTTTCTTGCTCTTTGGTTTTTCCCCTAGTAATTTAGAAAGTAGACATTCTGTACTGAGAACAAACTGAGGGCTGATGGGGGTGGGGGTGGGGGAGAGTGGAAGAGGGGTGATGGGCATGGAGGAGAGCACTTGTTGGGATGAGCACTGGGTGTTATATGGAAACCAACTTGACAATAAACTATGAATGAAAAAAAAAATTCAGCTCTTTTTCTGCTTTAGTAATTGGTACTTAAGTTGCTTAAGCAACAATACTAGCTGAAATTCATATTTCCACAAATAAAGATCTGAACAATCAAAAAAAAGAAAGTAAACATTCTGGTTTTATTTAATTAGCAATTACTTTAAAAAAATAAGGTGAATCTCTATTTCTTTACTAATATAAATAATACATTAACATCTGTTGATTCTGAAAAAGATGAATGAATCACATCAATATCTCCCTGTGTTCCTGCTTCCCACCATTTATTGGAATAACTTAGGCTTTTAAAACCATTATTGTTATTATTATTACTATTATTTTACATCTCCTTAAGGAACACTTTTCACATTTGCATTTCCTTACATAGCTGTGTTAATCATATAAGAAGATTTACTTAAACATTAATTTTCAAGTTCACAGGTTTTAATTTCCATCTTTATTTCTAAAATAACTCCCCTATACCTGAGATCTTTATTTTTTTAATTTTTAAAAATTTTTAAATAATGTTTATTTTTGAGAGAGAGCATGAGTGAGAAGGGGGAGAGACACAGAATTGGAAACAGACTCCAGGCTCCGAGCTGTCAGCACAAAGCTCAATGTGGGGCTTGAACTTGTGAACTATGAAATCATGACTGAGCCAAAGTTGGACACTTAACTGACTGAGCCACCCAGGCACCATTTTTTTAATTAAAAAAAATGTTTTTTAATGTTTATTGAGATCTTTATTTTTATTTATTTGATACTAAAGCATTTATTTGAATGATTTTTGAAGAAGAGTATGTATCTGAATCTTTTTTTTTAAATTTTTTATTTATTTCTGAGAGAGAGAGCGAGCATGAGCAGGGGAGGGTCCGAGAGAGAGAGAGAGATACAGAATCTGAAACAGTCTCCAGGCTCTGAACTAGCTGTCAGCACAGAGCCCGACCTGGGGCTCGAATCCATGAATTGTGAGATCATGCCCGGAGTCGAAGTCGGACACTTAGCCAATTGAGCCACCCAGGGGCCCCTGAATCTTTGAGTATCTGAGAATATTTATTAATTGTGCATTCTGACATAGCAGTTATAACTGTAGGAGGCTTTTCTAAGGAAATGATACTAATATGCAAAGATTTATATACAAGTTCATTTTGCAGTATTATTACAAAAGCAAAATTAGAAACTAATAGATGTCTACAAATAGGTTGGTTAAATAAAATTATTTCCAGTCATTATTGCAGCAAAATCATAATAGTTTTATCACCTTTGTCTCCTAACTGAAATATAAATATCATGAATCTTTTTGCCTGTTCCTTGTGCAAGTTATAATTATAACAAGTTTAGACCTTACAGAGCAAATATTAGAATGTTTAGCTATTAACATGGATATTCTACTTAGTATCTTTTTTACTTTTTCAATTGGATTAAATATTGGCTAGATATTATTGAAAAAAATGTAAGAAATTTAGTCTGTTCCTTGTAGTCACTTCATGGATTCCTTTGGGCAACCCAGACCAGAAGATAACCAGTCAGTAGTTAGCAGAATGCAAAAGAAATACTGGAAAACTAAACAGGTCTTTATCAAAGCAACAGGAAAAAAGGAGGATGAGCACGTGGTAGCATCTGACGCTGAACTGGATGCTAAACTCGAGGTAAATTTGGGGATTCTTTGTATTGCATATAACTGATTATTATTTGTGACTTTGAAGAACTTGCAGATTTGATAATGGAATATTTAATTATATTCATCTGTCAATCAGATCTGAGTAAGAGGTCACAATTCGCACAAATTAAGAATTGGCAGGACTAGTATTTATAAGTTAGATAAGTAATAAATCAGTTTCTTTGGTACAAGTATAAGTTTTTAAGCTAAATATTATATTGATTAGATGTCTACAAATAGATTGGTTAAATAAAATTATTTCTAATCATTATTTACTAATCAAAATAGTTTTATCACCTTTATCTCCTAATTGAAATTAATATAAATATCATGAATCTTTTTGTCTATTACTTGTACAAGTTATAGCTGCATATAACATGTCAAAATATTTTGTACCACTTTTATGTGAAGCCTTGTGCTTCACTGAAATTAATTGAAATCAAATAGTGAAGATTTTTATTTCTATTTTTTAAATATTTTTAAAAATTTATTTATTTAAGAAATTTACACCCAATGTGGGTCTCAAACTCAAGAATTTGAGTTGCATGCTTCACCACAAGAGCCAGCCAGGGTCTCCTGAGTGAGGATTTTTATAAGTTAGAGTTTTTGTTTCCATTTAGGGATAAAGTTATTGAAGTATTTTATAGTGTGTTTTTTGTCCATGTTTTTCATTTTAAATAAAGTAATTACCATGAAATGACTTTAAACCTATGAGTATTTTATAGTTTTAAGTAATTAAGCTAATTAGAGGAAAGTCTCATGTATATTAATGAACAGTCTGGGTTCTTAAATGCAGATTTATTGATTCCATGTATGTATACTAATTGAAGATGCTTTTTACAGGTATTTCCAAGTAGGAGTTCTGTTATGCTTAGAATATAATAATTTGTTGCAATCTTTAAAAGTATAGGCCTAATTAAATAGGTCTTAATCTCCTAAACATTTTTATTCTAAAAAAAGTAAATTTATGTCATTGCCATAACAAATATGGAAATAGATAACAAATTAACAAGCTTTTACTATGTGTGTTGAAAAGCATTCTTAGGATTCAGTGATAAATGTGGAGAAAATGAAGGGACTTAATTATAAGCAATAAATATTTTAAGGCTAAGGAAGGGTTCACTATTTCAACATATATTCCCACAGATGTAGATTTTTCTGTCTTGTTTTACATCGTTAGGTAGGCTGTGTGACATATTTTATATTCTTGTCCATTAGTCAAATATTTTGAATCACCCAAGTACTTTCTGTGACATTTGTACTATATCTTTTAAGAATGAGAAAAACATTCATTATATGTGTACTTAAATCATCATGTTGTACACTTTAATTATATTACAGTTTTATTTGTCAAATTATACTTCACTCACACTAAAAAAAGTCATTGTAAAAATAAAAACCAATTGCATATAAATCTTTCAAAGACCCATGAGGAAAAAAATCAACCATAATCACTTCATCATAGTAGAGCTATCATTTTTGTATCCTTTTCTAGTCCTCCATATGGATTTAAAACAGCTTTTTAAGCTGCAATATACCAAATTCATTTCAAACATACCTAAACTTATGTGGAAAGTTGATGGTTGTTTCTCCATTTAGATTTTAGTGTCTGTCACTAATCTTCCTTAGGTCAGATCACATATCAGAATAACAAAACTTTCAGAGAGAGAATACTTAGGCTCAGTGGTGATATTAGAAATTTATTTGATTCAAATAAATTCAAAATATTAGGGCCTAAGACTTTGCTGCAGTGTGAAGGTCTTTTTTAATTAAAGTCTTATAATAATTCTTCAGCCTAGGACTTTGTGGGAAGAAGGCTGTACCCTAAAACCTATGACACTTCATCTGCCTCGGAAAACCTAAATTTACAGTTGTGTATGAAGAGTTACCTCATGTGTATTATGTGTGTCCTAATCTCAACTTTTCATGTGCTTACTTTGAAATGAGTGTCTCCTGGTTATTTTATTTTACTTTTAGCTATTAGCAACAATAGTAATGAAGGGAAAATTCCAAATTAAAATAGAAAAGTAATTTATTTATGATGTTGTAATACATTATTTAGTTTTTATGGTAATTTACTGACCTGCTTTGCTTAGGATAATATTATAGAAAAACCAGATTGAGAATTAACATTTTCTAGGGTTATCTATACTCTTTTCGTCTGTAGTTGGCAGTATTTGATACAGTTTATATTGGATTTACATTTTTGCTATTTAGATAGTTTGGAACTGAGGGGAGGACACACTTCACAGTTATAAATCTTTATTAGTTCCCATGTATTTATCACCATTTTTTCCAGCCCACAAGAGAGAATCTAAAAGTGCTTTCTACACCTGTATAAAACCAATACATCAAAGTCAAGGCAAATAGACATAATACATAAAAATGTTCTGTTTTTGAAGTGCTTATAACAGATATTTTATGTTTATGGTCCTTAAATTGTCCTAATAAAATTTATATTTCAAAGGTTTTTCACTCCATTCAAGAGACATGCACTGAACTTCTGAAGATAGTTGAGAAATATCAACTAAGACTTAATGGTATGAAATCCCATATATCTATTCAGTAATTCCCATTTAAAATAAATAATTTACTTACATTTTTGAGAATGAAAGATTTAATGTAAAAATAGTAGTTTACTGAACTGTTGTGTGATTGAGGTCCCTTATGACAAAGAAGTGATAGCGAGGAGAAGTGTGAGTGGGGAACTAGTGAGTGGGCTTGAGTTCTGCTGGAAGTGTCAAGAGACTACCTTTTCAGTTTTTGTAGGTTATTTTTTTCTTTCCTTAAGTAGGCTCTATGCTCAACATGGGGCTTGAACTCACAACTCTTGAGTCAAGAGTCGCATGCTCCACCCACTGAGCCAGCAAGACACCCCTTTCCCCAGGTTTTCCATCAGTAAACCAGGGTGAAATTAGGCATGACATTTGTCATTTTTCACTTTAAGCTAATAATTTGAATACTTTATGTGTTCCCCCTTTATTAGTCTTACTGTGTGTGATTAGAGGGTCAGACGTCCAAAATTTTGTTGTCAAAGACCACTTTTTTGCTTTGTGTGTTACTTTCAATCTGTTGTAAACTGACACTTTTATAAAATACAATGAAAATGAATTTCAAGACAAATGAAATTAAAGAAGACATGCAAAATATAAACATACTTCATCATCATCATCATTATTATTATATTCAACAGATATAAAATACTCATCAAATTAGTAAGCTTCTCAATAGTTTCTTTGTTTTGGTACTTGTTACAGGCTGATAACAAGTGGCTCTGGACTGGAATTGATCAGTGGACCACAATGAGTAGTAATATACTATATGACTGACAAATTTTATGGTTTCAGCAATAAAACCGTGGATGTCTGTGGGCCTGGGATACTGAGCATAGGTCACTGAAACCAGGGTGGGAGTCAAGGTTAAGTTTAAATAGAAAACGAAGACTTTGTTAGAGGCAGTAATCCTGAAATGCATGTCTGCACGTTTGAAAATGCATTTGTAGTTTTGTCATTTTGGAATCTTTTTTTTGCCCCCTTGCTTCCCAAAGCAGGGTCCATGAATTCATTACATCAAAACCATCTGGAGTACTTGTGTGTAGGGGGAAGCAGATTCTTAGACCTATAAAATCAGAATCTCTGGAAATGGAGCCTGGGAATCTACATTTTTAAAATAAGTCTCTCTTCCTCTTCCCCAAGTAATTCTTATGTATAGAGAATTGTTGCTGTGAGAATTTCAGTCATGTGTCTTTAACAAATGATGAAAGAAAACGATTAACTGTATTGTAATTTTTTCCTAGTCATATCAGAGGAAGAAAACGAGCTAGGACTCTTTTTAAAGTTTCAAGCAGAACGTGATACAACGCAAGCTGGTAAAATGATGGATGCTGCTGGCAAGGCACTCTGTTCTTCAGCCAAGCAGAGGTTTATAGTTTTACATCATCCTTAAATCTGTAGTCATTGTGACAGTTTTGATCTGTGTACCTTAATTTGCATATTTGTAAAGGTTAGTGATCATTTCAGTAGAGGGTTCAAAGAGAAATATAGCATATAATTGTTTGGATGCCTCTTATTTTTTTGTATATAAGATAATTACTTCAAAAATTGACATTCTAGTTGCTTAATTCCTATAAATAGGCTTTAAGCCTATATTTAAATTCCTTATGTGGTTTAATGTAACAGGCACATAAAAATACTTTTTATATGCATATAAAATGCATATAAAATATATATTTTAATTTTTTTTGGATACTGTCTTATTTAGGAGTACATTAAAACTTCTTTTTAGGTGGAGGGAATTTTTTCTACTTAATTATCACTTTACAGATTTTTAACATAAAGATACTTCAGAGAATCTCCAACAATTATTAAATACAGCCAAAATCTTTCAATTTTCAGAAGAAAAATAAAAACAGACTTTATCTGTAATGACAATATATAATGTAAGTGGCTTTATTCTGAAACACAACATCAGTGCAGAAGCCCATCATTAAGAAAGTGACAGGACACTCAGTTCAAGGCCCTTTAGTGCCACTAAGCCAGAAAAGCAGATCAGAGGAGCTGGGTTTGATTTGTGTTTCTTAAATTAGATTTTTTTGTCATCATCCTTTCCTGCTAAGAACTCAATACTCATTAGTTATTTTAGCATTTTATCTGCTTTTCCATATCTAGGTTTTACCTAAATTTGTCAAATTTAAGCTTTCTATTTATTTATTTATCTATTTATTTATATATAGGATTATACTTTGTGAATACAGGATCTCTTCTACCCATGGACCTCTTCTAAATGGCAGATATACTTGACAGGTTATTTACACATGGATTAATATCCAAAGTGTTGGAAAAATAACATTTCTTAAAATAAGCAAAGGAGAGATACAGACATCATTATTAACAATTCAAAGTTGGCTGTATGATCTTTATTTGCTATATAAAGTTCCTTAGGCATCTTAATAATTACCTGTTTTATAGACTCATCTGGACAGCAGATATGCTTTAAGGTTGTTTTAAACCTTTGTTTTTGTTTTGTTTATGGAATGTACATCCCTCTGATTTTTACCTCTCTGCCATTAGATTGGCCCTGTATACTCCTCTGTCTCGTCTTAAGCAAGAAGTGGCAACATTCAGTCAAAGGGCAGTGTCTGATACCTTGGTGACAATTAATCGGATGGAGCAAGCACGCACAGAATACAGAGGAGCGCTGCTGTGGATGAAAGATGTATCCCAAGAGCTGGACCCAGACACCCTAAAACAAATGGAAAAGTTCCGAAAAGTATGAAAATATATCCCTTTCCTTTTCTTGGTACACAAACCTGTTGAATTTACACAAAATAATTTAATTGAGATCATAAAATATCAGGCTATTTTTGAAAAATGTTATATTATAAATTCTTGGCTGCTTGGAGATCTTTGAAGTACTAAAGATTGTTACACTTTTTTTTTTTTTAATTCTTTAGTGACATCCGGACCCCGTCAACCTTTTCTATTAATTTTTTTAATCCCTCTCACAATATAAATGTTGCTTCCATTTATTTATTTATTTATTACATTTATTTATTTTCGAGAGACAGTGAGACAGTACGCCAGCAGGGGAGGGGCAGAGAGAGAAGGAGACACAGAATCCAAAACCAGCTCCAGGCTTTGAGCAAGCGTTCAGCACAGAGCCCAATGCCAGGCTTGAACCCACAAACTGTGAGATCGTGACCTGAGCCAAAGCTGGACACTTAACCAACTGAGCCACCCAGGAGCCCCAAATGTTGCTTCCCTTTAAGTGTTGCTTCCCTGGGCTTTTGGGATTTGTTTGCAGGAGCGAAATCGTTTATTCGTTGAGGAAAAAATAAATTTAAGTAACAATTCAGGTAAATTCAGGTATTATAGGAAAAAGTGAAGATTATCATATTTTTATTCTGCTACAATACATATTTTGACCACAGAATTTTTTTTTAAGTTTATTTGTTTTCAAAGAGAGAGAGAGAGACCATGGAGGAGGGGCAGAGAGAGAATTCCAAGCAGGAATTCTCCTGAGAGAATTCTCAGGAGAGCCAGACACAGTTCAAACTCGTGAATCCAGCTGAAATCATGGCCTCAGCCAAAACCAAGAGCCATATGCTTAACCGACTGAGCCACCCAGGGTCCCCTTGGCCACAGACTTTGAAAGTAACTATGTATAGACTGATATGTTTGCTAAATAAACTACTTTTGAATTGTATCCCCTAAGTTCACCATACATGAATAATAAAATTCAGTCCTTCATTTCATAGAGTACATATAATACAAATCATATTTAATATATTTTTTTTTTACGAATAGTTTATTGTCAAATTAGTTTCCACATAACACCCAGTGCTCATCCCCACAAGTGCCCTCCTCCATGCCCATCCCACCTCCCCCCCACATCCATCAGTCCTCAGTTTTTGTCAGCATTCAAGAGTCTCTCATGGTTTGCCTCTCTCCCTTTCCCCCACCATTTCCCCCCTTCTTCTCCCGGTTGGTCCTCTGTTAAGTTCCTCCTAATCCTCCTATACGTGCAAACATATGATATTTGTCCTTCTCTGCCTGACTTATTTCGCTCAGCATAACACCCTCAAGGTCCATCCATGTTGCTACACATGGCCAGATTTCATTGTTTCTCATTGCCATGTAGTATTCCATGGTATAGATAAACCACATCTTCTTGATCCATTGATGGACACTTAGGCTCTTTCCATGTTTTAGCTATTGTGGAGAGTGCTGCTAAATCATATTTAATATTGATATAATCTTTATACCAGCTGTGTAGACCACAGCAACATGTTATTCTTTCCCCTTTATAATCCTTGACAATTAGAATACAATCCAAGAAATTTGTTGAACAACAATCTGAATGCACTAATGTCACTGAATTCTGTATTTTTAAATGGTTAAGTATATGTTACCTAAATTTCACCTAAATTTTATTATTTAAAAAATTTTTAATTTATTTTTAAGAAAGAAAGTACTAGTTCGGGAGCTGTCAGCACAGAGCCTGACATGGGGCTTGAACTAATAAACCATGATATCATAATCTGAGCCTAAGTTGGATGCTCAACTGACTGAGCCATCCAGGTACCCCACACCTAAATTTAAAAAAAAAAAAAAAAAGGCATTTCAAACTTATCTGGACCCAAATAGCCCTGCACAGTCTGGTCCCTGGTCCCTGTGCAGCCATATTTTGTACTTTTCTAGACTCTAACCCTTTCCATGCCTCAGGAAGTAATATGCTTTAGCCTATTTTGTATTGTCCTACAAGCTTGTTAAGCTCTTCACCTTCCATTCCCAGGACTTTTGTCCTTGCTTTTCTCTGAGCCTGGAATGCTTTCCTCAGAATCTTAGCATGGCCTACTAATCATCTTTCTGTCCCAGTTCAAACATCTTACGTGAGCTCACCAAAGACTTCCCTAACCATCTTAGCAAAAGTAGTAATTTCTTTTCACTTATATGTAATCTTTGCAACTTGAGATAATCTTATATATTTATTTACTGCTGCTTTTTCCTGTGCCTCCCCACTCAGAGATGGTAGGAAAGAACATTGTTTTGTTCACCACAATATCCCAGTGCCTGGCACATAATAAATACCTTATAAATATTTGTTGAATGAATAAATTAGTATATTTAAAAATTGAATATTAATGCTACTTGGTGACATATGACTTACCTTATGTATAAGAAATATAATAGGCATATATTTAAATTTATAAATGTTATCCCCCTGATTCTGAGTAATTATTAATGCCTTTCAACACTTTAATGTTTCCTTTCCATGTATTCTTCTATTAGCTATATATTACCCATTAGTAGTTTTGGATGTTTCTTTTTAATTGGAATCTGTAGAGGTTTCTTTTCTTAACTGTGCACTTTTCATTTATCATTGCATACTTTCTCAGCAAAGATATCTGCTGGAAAGAATCTCCAGTTATTAAAAATAAACAAAATCTTTAACAGTAATCAAGAAATAATAATACAAGGAAATGGAATTAGTCTTCTTTATTACAATTTCATGTGTCTGAAAATTAGTCTTCTTTAATGCAATTTCATGAACCCATATGGTATATTTATACTTGTATTATCAGTAATAATAATAAATATTATTGTGATTGCAGGTACAGGTCCAAGTGAGAAATAGCAAAGCTTCTTTTGACAAGTTAAAGATGGATGTTTGTCAGAAAGTGGATTTACTTGGAGCTAGTCGCTGCAATATGTTATCCCATTCACTCACTACCTACCAGGTACCCACCTCCATGGTCAGCATGTCCTTGCAGTAAAGATGAGTGGTGAGATTCCTTTTTAAAAGTTGTCTAATGGGTGTAAAAAATTGCATAACTAATCAGATTCCTTTGACTTTGAAAATTGACTTACTGAGGTTATGACAGAGAATCATAGAATTCTCGACTGAAAAAGACCTTAGGGATTGCTTACTCCTGTATCTTCACATTATTCCCCTTGGGGTCCTAGGAGGGAGATTTAGGGGTCATCTAGGTTTGAGTGGGAGTGTTGAAGCAGGATTCACAGCCCATGAGCCCTGGATCCCCAGGCTACTCAATTTTGAACTTCTACATACAGTTTGATTTGAAGCAAAGATTCTGGGGCCCAAAAGTATAAAACTTTACTGTCATCTTATAGCTGAATAAAGTGAAACCCTATGAGAATTAAAGTAAACAGCAATGTTGGAATTAAAAACCTATTTTCTCATGCTAGGTCGTGTGTTCTTTTCATTCTGTCACTTTCATATCAGCAGTCTCTCACTTGTGCTTCTGTTACCCCAAATCACACATAAATAGCATAGAGTGAATAAGTCAGATGTTAATTAGTAGCAGGTACTGATATTAACATGTATTTTTAAATGGCAAAATAGAATGAACTGTATTTACCTAAGAAAAGAATAATAAACTAAAGGGAATGGACACTCATTGATGCTTGTAGGAAATCTACCTAATTCAGGTCAGTACTGTGGATGGAATTCAGGAGTCACCAAAGGATGCACTTGAAAATAAAAGTAACTGGCAATCCATGTAGCATATCCCTGAAACACAACAGCTGTTAGTTCAGTTCTCCTTTATTCTCTCCACTCAGCCCCCTCACTTTGAATAGGAACTTTGAAGCAGCAAGGAAAATGTCCAGTTACTTGAGTTAGCTTGAGAACACACTTTTTTTTGGCGAGTCTTTTGAGCCCTAAATGAAAGACTAATTTATTGGTACATATTATTTTTGTCCAACTTAATAAGGGCTTATATGTGCTTACCAACATAAAGATTTACACACATACCCCTAATACAGATATGGTCTTTTTGTGCTTTTAACATTTCTTTTTTAAACTCTTGCAGGGGTGTTCTAATGCAGTAATATTATTCTCTAGCTGACTCCAGTGTACTTTCCAGTGCTATATACAGATAGGTACATATATATGCTGATACAGTTGCCAGTTCTTATGCAGAATTATTATTAACACTGCTTTCTGGTTCCCCCAACTTGGAAATTGATTTTACTTCCTACTGCTTGTTATTCAGCAACCATTCATCTACTACAACAGGATGTGAGGAAAAATAGCAGTGAAAAAAATTGTAACTGTAGTGACAACCTTTCTTTTTCTGCAGAGGACACTGCTTGGATTCTGGGAGAAAACAGCTCAATTGATGTCCCAGATCCATGGGGCCAGTACTGGCTTTCATCTATATGATTTTGTAGCTCTCAAGGTACAATTATTTCGATGTTCTTTTGTTAGATGTACTTCATTTGGATAACACTGAAACTAATTTTGAATTTACAAAATATGGGAAACATTTTTCTACACTCCTTCAGCCAATTATTTTTCTGTACTTCCCTGATTCCAAGTGCTACCAGCAACACTAAACAAATAAACAAGAATACTGCTGTAGGCTCAAGATATTGAGGTGAGGAGTAAAGGAGGGAGCAAGAGAAAAGAAAATTAAAATGTAAACGAGATAAGAAAAAGTGATGGAAGAGAAAAACTTAAGAGGATCAAGTGATGGAAAATGGTCTTTGGTTTTCAATAACAACCAGAGTACTTACCAACAATTTTAGAAGTTAAAGAAAAATTTCCTTGCTTTATTTTTACACTCCTGTCATAGATATGATTCATGATACAAAAATAATGGGTGACTACAGCTGAAGAGACTACTGTATTAGATCAGCTTTTTCTCTAATACCTACATGTAAAAGGTACCCTCGGGCTTTGATTATAATGCTTTTAACATTCGTATATCTTCTGGTCAGCCTTCTGTGCATATGGCTTATCCAGCAGAATAACTATGGTACTGAACTATGGTAATCAGTTCTTTAATTCTGGTAGGCTAGGTTTCAGTACCTTTGACCTTATCATTCTGTCTTGTTTTCAGTAGAGCTTGAAAATGTTATTGTTGAGATTGCTCAAGCTAGATGTATCTGTGATGGATTCATCTCTTGCAGCTTGGTATGGATATTTAAGTCATGTTCTGGCATAGCATCTTCTAGTCTTTATGTTTTTTGTTGTGTGTATGGTTTTTTTTCTTTACTTTTTCTATATTAATGCTTCACTGGATAGCATACTATATTTTTAGGCAAATTTAGTATCTAATTTCTGTTCAGATGAAGTTGAAAATCTTCAGCATTGTATTAGAAGTCAGTAACACAGTGTAAGTCTTCTTTGGCATATCACAAACTTGTAAAGCTTGGTGCTGGCCCATGTTATGGTCTGTGTGGTTGTCATAGGCAGCCAGGATAAACTGGGACATCGTGCCCAGGTCAAATTACATTATCATACATTTCCCATATCTCTCACTCTACTTCAGAACTATCCCTATTTTATGTTGTTCTTTAGAATTTTTATTCTCAGCTCATTTGCACAAAGAGATAAACAGATTCCATCTACTTAACATTGAATTTCTTATCCTTAGCAACTACAAGACACTCCAAGCAAGCTTACTGAAGACCACAAAGAAGAACAAATAGAAAACAGTTCTCTCACTGAAAACCTCAATAAGTAAGCAGGCAGAAATATGGGGTTATGGAAGTCCTAGATACTGTTATATGATATATTTGGAAAGAGTTGTTTCTTTTACGACTTATTGAATATTTATTTCTATGTCATTTTCCAGTTAATATTTTGTAAGTTTTTTTTTTTTTTTTTTTTTTTTTAAGTAGGCTCTGCACCCAATGTGGGCTTGACCTCATGATGCTGATATCAAGAATTGGGTGTTCTACCCACTAAGCCAACTAGGCATCCCATTTTTCCAATTAATATTAAACATTTGTTTTAAAGCCTTATCCACTTCCTGCTGCCATTTTTAACATGGCAGGTAAAGTTGATGACAGGAGTATAGAACAGAAGAGGCAGCTTGAAAGAGAAAGGGACAGGTATCAGCAGCTATGAAACAGAAGCTATTGAAAATCTGTAAAGCAACACAAATGGGACTGGGGCTGGTCACCTGGAAATGGGAGCTCTTGCTGTGCACATCCTTCATGTTGCCTGTTTCCCTTTTATTATATCTTACCTTTGTTTACTTCTCATCTTAGTAGATTGCACTGAGTATAATAATAAACCCAGAAATAAAGACTAGAACAGTGACAAGCCATATATTGTTGAGTGGAAGGTGATCCAGGATATACGCATTCCCCTCTTTTCTCTATGGGGAAATCCACACAGATTTTTTGCGTAATTTGAATATATAAACAATTTAAGATGTAGATAAAATATATATCAAATGTGTAGTTGTAAATGCAATTTATTAGTTAAACATTGATAATTAAAATCCTATGTTACATTAAATATATTAATTTAGTAAACTTTCTCCATTATCACATTTCATGAAAGTTTTATTCATAATCGTCTCATGCATATTCGGCATTCTGAGTTACCTTTTGAGTTAACAGATTCCAAAGCATTTCACCTTCTCTTCCATCCAAGTAATTTAAATAATCATGTATATATACGGTCACTGGAGATTTCGTTCCAAGCCATTAGCATCTATTTGCTCTATTTTTGTGTGTGTTTTTTGGCAAATAAATGCCATATAGGTTTCCCTTGTTATCTGAAAGTGGAGTGTTCCAATGAAACTTTTTGTAAGTCAATACAGTATAAGGCAAAGAAGCAATTACCATTAATTTTTGTGGAAAATGAGTATTCTTAGATCCAAAAAATAACCTTTCTTAGGCTATTCTGACACCCTAGGACACATCTTGCTAATGTATGCACAGAATAAATGGAGATGAAGCACAGTTCATAATGGCTTAATGCTGAGATGCTGAGTGTAGTTCCCAGGGAAGGAGCTTGGTGGTGCTACTGTTGCTGCTCAGGGTGCACACTGCCTCCATGAGGGCTCCCTGCATCATAAACACTTAACACTACTTTTGCTTTTTGCCTTTTTTGTAAAAGTGAAAATCCTCTTCGGACTTCTTTCAGTTAGCAAAGACAAGTACTAATAGAGATCTTCCAGAGAAGCATAATGCAAACTTCCAAAAAGCAGGGGATACCTGTATTGCTTTTTAAGTATCTTTAAGGATTTATTACAAGCAACTTCTAATACTAGAATTGTGAGGTCACACTCCAGGAATAATGCCTAAGTGTATGTTCAATGTCTTTGTCTAATTTTTTATTATCATCCCAGATGGATGATATAAATATCCAAAATTAGTATTTTCCGAGAATATTTTAGGCAATTGAAGCTTCTTTTGCAAATATCACTTTGCTGTTCCAAAATAGAGTACTCAATTTTTTCTGCAGTTCTTCATTTCCTCTATTTAGGTCTCAAGTATTCTTGAGCAGATCCTTCAGTGCTTGAAAACTAAACCTCATACTCAGTGACTTTGGTGACAGACGTTCTCCATGATGTATTACTTAGCACAGTGCTTGTAATAGTGACCATGGTGCCTGGTGCTTCGTCAGACAGTGTAGGTTGTTCAAAGAATAAGAGATGAACGATTATTCTCGTGGTCTATGTAGATCTAAAGAAGAGGAACATTTGTCTCAGATTTTAGTATATCTGTCTACTGGGCAACTATTTTATATGTTATCTCAGTTAAAAAATGTTCTTAACCATATAAAACTGTAGAATATGAATCCTGAGTGTATTTTAACCAAATTCTTTGCATTTTATGGTTTTTACTTTAGGTTAGTTTTGTCAGATGAGGAAGTGAGCTTGGGAAGTAAACCAGGTAAGATGGTAAATTCATTAAAATGTGAAATGACCACATTTTAAACGTCAAAACAGTTTGTCACAACCTTTTAAAACAGATTGTATTAATATCAATTCAATTAGAAAACATGTTAAGTCAATTTATAAGTCTCTTCTATACAAACACTTCTGAGTTAATTTCTTTTCCCCAGCTTTATTGAGTTATAATAGATATATAACACTGTGTAAGTTTAAGGTGCACAGTGTAACTTGATATATGGATGTATTATGAAATGATTATCACAATAAAATTAACACATCCATCACCTCATATAGTTACTATAGATCTTGTGGGGGCAAGAACAGAAGATTTATTTTCTTAGCAACTATCAAGTATGTTATTAACTATAGTCCCATGCTGTATTTTAGATCCCTGAAACTTAATTATTTTATAGCTGGAAGTTTGTACCCTTCGACCAAATTTCCCCATTTTCTCCACCTCCCAGACCTCAATAACCACCAGTCTGTTCTGTTTCTGAGTTTGACTTTTTAAGATCTCCTATTTAAGTGAGATCATACACTATTTATTTTTCTCTAACTTATTTCACTTAGCATAACGCCCTCCAGGTTCATCCATGTTATTGCAAATGGTAAGATTTCCTTCTATTTTAAGACTAAATAATATTCAGTTATATTCTACTACGTATGTACATAAATAACATTTTCTTTATGCATTTATCTGTGAAGGCCACTTAGGTTGTTTCCATGTCTTGGCTATTGTAAATAAGACTGCAGTGAAGATGGGGGTGCAGATACTTCTTCAAGATAGTAATTTTGTTTCCTTTGGATATATAGCCAGATGTGGAATTGCTGGAATATATGGTAGTTCTGTTTTTAACTTTCTGAGGAACTTCCATATTCCTCTCTACAGTGGCTACACCAATTTACATTCCCACCAACAGTGCACATCCTTTTTTCCACATCCTGTCCATCACTTGTTAAATCTTGTCTTTTTTATAACTGTCATTCTAATAAGTGTGAGATGATCTCTCAGTGTGGTTTTGATTTGTGTTTCCCTGATGAGTGAATAGTGTTGTTGAGCACCTTTCCATGTATAGTTGGTCATGTATATGTCTTCTTTGGTTGTAAAAATGTGTATCTAGGTTCTTGGCCCATTTTTTAATCAGACTGTTATTGTTTGTTTATTTTGGCTATTGGGTTTGAGTTCCTTACATATTTTGGATAGGAGCCCCTTATCAGATACATGGTTTGCAAATATTTTACTCATTCTGTAGGCAAATGTGGTTGGGTTTTTGACTGTTGATTGTTTTGTTGTGGTTATTTTGTGTTTTTTTGTGCTTTTTGCTGTGCAGAAGATTTTTAGTTTGATATCATCTTCTTTGTTTTTGCTTTTGTTTCTTGTACTTTTGGTGTCCTGTGCAAAAAATCATTGCCACATTGTCAAGGAGTTTTTTCCCTTGTTTTTTAAAATATACATTTAATTGAAACAGAGTTGACATATATTAGTTTCAAGTACAGAACACAGTGATTCGACAATTATGTCCATTACAAAATGTTCACCATGTTAACTGTAGTCACCTCTGTCATCATACACAGTTATTACAATATTGTTGACTGTATTTTCTGTGCTGTACTTTCCATCCTCATGACTTATCTATTTTATCACTGGAAGTGTGTACCTCTTAATCCCTGCTATCTATGTCGCCTATGCCCCCATACCACTCTGCTCTGGCAGCCACTTGTTCTCTGTATTTGTGTGTCTGTTTCTTTTTGTTGTTGTTTGTTTTGTTTTGCTTTTTTTTTTTTTTAGATTCCACATATAAGGGAAATCATATGGTATTTGTCCTTCTTGGTCTGACTTGTTTCACTTAGCATAATACCTTCTAGGCCCGTGTATTGTCATGAATGGAAAGATTTCATTGTTTTTTATGGCTGAATAATATTCCATTCTGTATGCTTACGTGAAATAATATCCTATTTTAAGCTGATAAGAACGTCAGTAGCATGTAGAAACTCTGTATATTTCTCCTCCTCACCTTTTAGGTTACTAATATTATAATTTATTTTTTTCATTGTGTATCTAATAACAAATTATTGTAGTTATAGTTCTTTTTAATGTTTGTTTTTAACTTAAAAAAATTTTTTTAATGTTTTTTATTTATTTCTAGGAGAGAGAGAGAGACAGCATGAGCAGGGGAGGGTCAGAGAGAGAGGGAGTCACAGACTCTGAAACAGGCTCCAGGCTCTGAGCTGGCAGTCAGCACAGAGCCCAACGCGGGGTTCGAACCCACGAACCATGAGATCATGACCTGAGCGAAAGTCGGATGCTTAACCGACTAAGCCACCCAGGCGCCCCTGTTTTTAACTTTTAAACTAGAGTTGAAAGGGGCACCAACCGGGTGGCTGGTCAGTTAAGTGTCTGACTTCATCTCAGGTCATGATCTTGTGGTCCATGAGTTCGAGCCCCACATCAGACTCTGTGCTGACAGTTGGGAGCCTGGAGCCTGCTTTGGATTCTGTGTCTCCCTCTCTTTGTCCCCCCCCCCCCGCAAAATAGACATTAAAAAAAAAACTAAGGGTGCCTGAGTGCCTCAGTTGGTTACATGTCCGACCTCAGCTCAGGTCATGGTCTCACAGTTTGTCGGTTCAAGCCCAACATCAGGCTCTCTGCTGACAGTGCAGAGCCTGGAGCCTGCTTCTAATTCTGTCTCTCCCTCTCTTTTTGCCCCTCCCCCTCTTGCAGTCTGCCCTCTTCTCTCTCTCTCAAAAATAAACATTAAAAAAAAAAGAACTAGAGTTGGAAGTGATTTATGCCCCAGTCTTCCAATATTATAGAATGTAACTTTGATTATATATTTACCCTTTCCAACAAGTTGTACACATTCATGCAGTTTTACGGGGTTTATTTAACATCCTCTCATTTCAGCTTGTAGAATGTCCTTTAGCCTTCCTTGTAAGGGAGGTCTGGTGGTGATGAACTTTCTCAGCTCCCATGTCTTTGGAAAGGGCTTTATCTCTCTTTCATTTCTGAAAGACAGCTTTGCTGGGTATATTGTCCTTCACTGAGTTTTTTTCTTTCAGTATTTTGAATATATCCTACCACTCTCTCCTGACCTGCAAAGTTTCTCCTCAGAAATCTGCTTACACTCTTATAGGGGCTCCCTCATATGTGACAAGTCAGTTTTCTCTTGCTGCTTTCTCTTTGACTTTTGACAACATAATTATAACATGTTGTTGGCTCTGACTGGGTAAAACTGCTGCTCATGCTCTGAGGTGGGGGTGGCCTACTGGCTATATTTTGTGTTTAAGCAGTGTTGTTGGCTGGTAAGGTTGTGCTCAGAGGTCAGGCAGGATCACTAATCAGGGCTTCAAAGTCCTTTCTGATCAGGCAGGGTTACTGGGTGCCACTGCCTAGTCTCTTCATTCATGCACGGTCACAGGCAGGGCTTTATGGTCTGATGTGGCCTCAGCCTGTGGTTTGCAATTAGGCAGGACTGCGGAGGCTCAATTCTAAATCAAGCAGGATGGTGGCTGTGCTCTGCTGTTGTGCAAGTTTGCTAGCCACACTTCCTAGCTGGTTGGACCTCATGCTATACCCCATTGGGCAGGGATTGAGGCTCTGCTTCACAGGGGACGTGGTCACTGACTGGTCTCCTTACCCGGGTGAGACTGCAGGTTGTGCTCAGCAACTGAGCATAGCCATCAGCTGGGCTCCAGTGCCAGGCATGGCTATAGACTGGGGTTTGCCGCTAGGCAGTGCTGTAAGCTGGGCTGTGATGTTCCCCAGAGTCACTGTTAGACCTTCCTAGTCTAACAAGGAAGCTGGAGGTTATGCTTCCTGCTTAGGGGTGCTGCTAACTACTTCTCTGTCTGGGTGGGTAATATGATATGCTCTGCAACTTCCCATGGTCATTGCAAGCTTTCTGGTCATGTGGGACTGGAGGCTATGCTCAACAGTGAATTAGCTTTCTAGCAGTACCTAATCAGAGAGTCTACTTGTTTTCTTCAGGGAATTTTGATTTTTTCGAATATAAGGACTCTTAATATAGACATTTATTTCACAGAGTTGTATGATTAAGTTTCAAGCTTTTTCTCACATTTAAATTCATATTATTATCTTTTTATAAATACATATCATATATATTCAATTAGTGTGGCTTTGGAGCCAGAAAAATCAGGCTGGCTGATTTTTAAAACAAGTGCTGGCTTGTGCTTGAGTGCTGGCTTTTTAAAACAAATCATTTATGCCTCATTTTTCTCATCTGAAATAGGAGTCATCTACTCCTACCTTACAGAGACATTAGGACTAGATATAATGTTTATAAACTACATAGCACAGGATAGGTGTACAGTAAATATTAGAGGCATTTTTTTAAAAATAGTCTTCACACCCAGCACAGAGCCCAATGCAGGGCTTGAACTCATGACCCCAAGATCGAGACCTGAGCTGAGACCAAGAGTTTGAAATTTAACTGACTGAGCCACCCAGGTACCCCACATGAGAGGCATTTTTAAGTGTACACATAGAGATCATACTGAAAAACAAGCCGTAATAATTTTGGAATTATATATCTAACATAGCTTCAAATGAATGTTCAAAAGGTTAGCTACTTCTGTATAGATAATTCTGTAACCAGGTAGAGAACATTTTTTTTAAAGTTCCAAATGGAGTATAATGGATAGTGGTGTAGTTTTACCATTCATTTGTAGCATTATTGAATCTTTTAAAACCTGCTGTATCAGTAGTTATACCCCCTTTTTCATTCCAGATGAATGGTTTATTCTGTCAACAAATCAGCTTTTGGTTTTGTTAATCCTTTCTATTGAATCTTTGTTTCTCTTTCATTAATTTTAGTTCTTTATTATTTTCTATTATTTTTTTAAGGCTAAAAGTTCCCTTTTTCTGTATCCCACAAGTTTTTTTAAAAAAGCTTTATGATGGGGCACCTGGGTGGCTCAGTCGGTTAGGTGTCCAACTTCGGCTCAGGTCACGATCTGATGGTTTGTGGGTTCGAACCC